CAAACCACAGTCAATTATGTAGGAATCTCGTGACATAACCATTACACCATCTGCTGCTTCCATATTACACAATTTTCATGAATTCCAAAAATTTCTGAAGACCCCTCCCATAGAATTTCTGAAATATCACTGAAATAATTTATCAGGGCTGGATGATAAGCAAATTACTCCTAATTTCCTGCATTTTTGCATTACACCTATTTAACTCTAGTCATAACTCATCATGAAGTCGACTTGAATTTCCATGACAACCAACAGCACCGAGTATACATTTTTGTGCTTGTTGGCCATTCGTGTATCTTCTTTAGCAAAGTGTCCAAGTGTTTTGTTCATTTTTAGTTCTTTTGTCTTATTGAGTTGTGTTTTAATATAGTCTTAATACAGTGATTTGTTAAATATATATTTTAAAAGCGTACTTTTCAATTTGTGACTTTTCATTTTCTTAAATGTCCTGAAAGTCTATGTATTTTGGCCAGGATCACAGAGCAAGTCATTTTGATTCTTTTTTTTTAAATTGATCTTTCCACTAAGCAGACTGAGAGTTTCCTACATAGAAGTTTCACTGAATATTCAGAAAATATACCACAGACCAGGAGCTGGTGGGGTATGTGACTGTGTGTGGGGCGGGTAACAGGGGAAGGACACAGGAATCTATAATCACTGTTCTCAAGAAGAAACTCCTTGGTGCAGAGGTCACACCGCTGGGCCCACATGGCAGGTGTCCTGAGTTCGTATCCCAGGACATCTCTGAGCATGTCAGGTGCACACAGATGCCTGTGATCCAGGCTGGCTGAGCCCGGGAGCATACCACAGCATGGAGACCCTGTTGGGTTGTCAGTCTCTCTCTCTTTTGCTCATGGGAGAATTTAAAAAAATAAATAAACTTCAGATAAAAAGAAGTAACTCCCTGGAAATTTCCCACATCAAAAGACTCTCGGGCTCAAGTGTTAATAGTGAGCCCTGTTTTTTAGATTGGTTACAATTTCATAAACTAATCTTCTTTCTTTTTTTTTTTTGAGAGAGGTTTTTGCTATAGGGTGTGTGCACTCGCCAAAAAGAGGATGGCCAGGCTGCAATACCTTCTCCTCCATTCTCTTCTCAGGATCCTAGGCATGCACGCACATGCACCCAGCATGAGTGTAAGCCACTGGGTCCAGGACTCGAACTACGGTCGACTACATGATAGTCCAGTGACATAGTCATTCCGCCATCTGCTGGTCCCTTAATGAATTAATCTTTTAAAAATAATCCCTCAATGTGTTGAAGTTGAGTCTATATTTAAACAAATGTAAGCATGAATAGAAGGAAAAAAAAAGTTTTTCAAAAATGGACCATATCCTATGAATAGTAGTTTATACAGTAGGATAGAATTGTGTAGAATTAACAGAGTCATTGAAGACCATGACAATGACCAGAGTTATTTTCCTTTCAATAACGATCCATTCATGTTCTTCCCCTTAATCTCCCTGAAGTAATTGACTGGAACCTAGAAGAAGATACAAAGGGATCTATACATGAATTCCCCTGACACATTTAGCTTAAGGTACCTAAACAATTTTCTCTCCCTAAAAACAAAATTTATTAAAATATATCCTAATGATTTGAAAGAACTGCTACTTATACTCACAGTAACAAATTTATTTTGACAGTACCAACATCACTAAGAATTAGATCTCCTGAATGATTAACTTTAAAGGAAATTGCAACTCATTATTTAGTAAAGTGTTACACTACAAAAAGAGAAGAAAATATAACACATACATGGATCTCTCCTCAACTAAGACAAGTGTGTATTCTTTCAATTTCGTTGCTTTCAATCAGAAAACAACTTGCTCCCTAATAAACTTTGCCTTAAAAACTTAAAGCGCACACGTGTACGCGTGCACAAACACACACACACACACACACACACACATCTGGGGGAGATTCCCTAACCTAAGAATTGATTAAGAAGGATTTTTCTGAACTGTAGGCTTTGATTCTTGGCTAGTCGTTTAATTTTACCTTCACAATGAAATCTGGGGGAGATTCCCTAACCTAAGAATTAAGAAGGATTTTTCTGAACTGTAGGCTTTGATTCTTGGCTAGTCGTTTAATTTTACCTTCACAATGAGCCTGATTCTAATACCTAGTGCGAAGAATAGTCTATCCCAAGTTTTAAAAGGGCAACTCATTACTTTCTTCCCTCCAAATTTGCAGGCTCATTAATTTATTATGCAGTCTGTTCAAAATGTGTGCTGCCTTTCTCCTCGACGAATGGCACACTGAACCGTCTCAGGCTGGTGGGTCGTTAGAGCTCCATGCAGACTGCAGACATGATGATTCCTAAAGTGGCCACAATTCTGCTGTTTTCTAAAAATGTGTTCTTTTAAGCCAAATCATATTTGCCTGTAGTTTAAGGTTAAACGTTTCCTAAAATGTTGTTATAGACAGTAATTTCCTGAACCACATTTCCTTTGCCTCATTTCTTCCACATTTAATTCTTTTAATGCTACTATTTTTAGAAATTACTTTGATATCATCAAATGATATGTTGCTAAGTCTTGACTATTCAGTTTTAGTTTTGTCAGAGAACTCCCGTGACCAAGGATAAAGATACCTCCAGAGCCATCAGAAGGGTTTCCAAGCGGACTGCTTATTGCTAGGCCTGTCTCCCACCCGGAGATTCCCTTTTCTCGCCTCTATATTGCCCCTTCTATTTTTTCATCCCAAATCTTCTTCATTCTTGAGCTACTTACTATCTTATTTTGTCAGAGGATCTTGTCTAGTATCTCCCTGAGATAGGCTGCATTGGAGGTGAGTTTTGTGAGAAGTTATATAAGTGAAAATGTATTTTCCTCTTTGTTAGTTGATCTGAGCATAGAATTGCAGATAGAAAATCATTTTCCTTCAGAATGTTGTTTTGTATCTCCATTGTTGCAGAGAGCCCATGATTTCTGATCCTTTGTTTGTGATTTTAAGTTTTATTTATTTAATTTGTGAGTGAGAGGGATCAGGAGAGACAGAGAGACAGTACTGAGAGAGTCTTGACATGCTGCAGCCCCAGCTTCAGTCATTCTCAGACAGTAGCTGTGTACGTGTTCAGTAGACTTCCAGATGCCAACCAGAACTTCTCTATACGGGTCAACCTCACAGAGCTTCCCCTTTTATCACTTTTTTACTTTTAACTCTTCTAGGATAGCACTGTCTAGTAGAAATATGTCAGCCACATATTAGATTTCATCATAGCCCCCTTTAAATATTAAAATGTAAAATTTATTTCAATATTTTAACCAACTATACCCCAGATACTATCATTTTAAAGAGTAATTGACAAAAATTTGGCATAACATATTTTAAGAAAGTCTTTTTACAAACGTCTTTAAAAAATTGTCTTCACACTCTAGTTTGGGTTGTGTTTTAGGTTTTTGACACAGGGCACATGAGTTTGTAGGAGAGAGGCAGAGAGAGAGAGAGAAAGTAAGAAATCGCCCCTGAGAGGGGATGAACATGCCACAATCCCCTCTCCCCAATTCTCCTCTCTGATTTTGGGCATGCAAACACACATACTTCACATGATGTTCAGGCCGTCAGGTCTGGGACTCAAACCACAGTCGATCATGTGGGAGTCCAGCAGATTCCCCACCGCATCGTCTGCTGTGTCAGGTTGGGCAGCTCTGTGACAAGCACTCAGTTGGCACAAGTGGCTTCTTTATTAGACAGCACAGTTCAAGTACAGAGGGTATTTTCTTTACTGCCAGTGTTCCAATACTTATTCTTGGTAAATGTTCTTAGTAATCTGCATTGGTAGAAGCTGGATTTCGTCTCTTTGTTTAGGTACGCTGCTTATTTGCCTGAAGGATTATCTGTATCAGTTCTAGAAAAAGTCTTTAAATTATTGCCTTAATAATTCTCTGCTCTCCTGATTTCTAGGTTCTCTCTGAAATTTCTGTTATTCGGATAATGCACCTGCTGTGCTTGCTGGTGCTCTTATTGATTTATGTCTCCTCATTCTATTTATTTTTCTTCTGCTTTCTGGGAAATTTATCTTCCACACTTTCTATTGAAGTATTCTTTTCTGCTATTATTTTTTTTTTCTGGTTGTCACATGACCCTTTATTGAGTGTTTTCCTGCGTACTTCTTAACTAGCTGGGCATTCCACTGCACCACTTGATGTCATCTATGATGTCATGAGGGTGATGGCCATCGACATCGCAGCCTACAGACTGGGCTGTCCCCAGGATCTCTTTAATGGTTCCAGAGGGTTCTCTGGCCAAGACCGGTGCTTCATCTGTCGAGCAATGCTGACAATCTAGTCAAAAGTGATGTTCCCACTATGTTTGATATTCTTCTGCTTCTTTCTGCCTCTTGGTGGTTCCTTGAGGGCTTTGATGATGAGCGCAGAGGCAGAAGGTACCTCTTCCATCTGGGCCTGTCTATTCTGAATGGTCAGTTTCACGGTCATCCTCAGGCCCTTCCAGTCACCAGTTGCCTTGGCGATGTCATCGCCTACCTTTTTTGGAGACAGACCCAGGGGGCCGATCTTGGGGGCCAGGGCAGACGTGGCACCAACTTTACCACCAATGCACCTCAGGTGCACGACTTCGATCTTGTTGGGGTTAAACTTGGGCAGCATGGTGGAGGCGACTGTTGTTGAATGAACCCGGATTCCGGAAGACCAAAGAAAGTTGCACCGAAGCCTGCTCCGAGCTGAAGCCAGAAGCATATTTTTAATTTCAAGAGGCTTTTTGTTTCTAGCATGTCCACTTTTAAATGCATCTGTTCTTGTTTCATGATTATAATATCTTCTGTACTCTCTGAGGACATTCATGACGGTATTTTATTTTCAAGAACTATTTCATTTAAGTTTATTTATTTATTTTAATTTGACCAGAGAGAGAGAGTGAGAGAGCAAGAAAGAGAGTGAAAGCAAGAAACAAGTCACCAGGTCCAGGATTTGAACCATAGTCATCCATGTGAGAGTCCAACACTCCAAGCACTATGCCTCCTGCCGGCCCCCATAGTAGTATTTTTAAAGAATCTCTTGATGTACTCTCTGTTTCATGTAGTTATCCTCTTCTGTTGGTCTGAATCTCCAGAGACTCAGTTTCATTCTTCCTTCTGTTCTAAGGATAAAATACTAGCTCTTAAATTCTAGGAGCCCAGCAGGGGGTGGGGGGAGTAGAGATTATCAGCATCATCTATGCTGTGTGTACTTAATTGATATGACACTTCCCAACGTCAAATCCCATTGCAAACTATAATTGGTGTCCCCGATTTCAGAAATCCTCCATTTTACCCACTGAAGAAAATAAACCTCTAGCATTCCTCCAGGGTGGGTTCAGGCTGCATTATTTTTGCTCTCTTAAGCACTTCTTTTATGTATTATATTTTGGCACTGAGCCATACCATGTCTGAAAATCCTGTATGGAAGAACTCCATATAAGGACTGTGGTTAGTTCTACTTTAATTAACTAATTACACAGTTTAGGAAATGTTCAGGCTTACTACTGTGTTCAAGTTGAGAATTTTTAAAACTGTCATTTGGGCCAGAATAGGTTTAAAAAAATTCTTCTTCATGAAAATACAGTATGTCTCCAGCATCCTTTGTCTAGTCATGGTGACAAAACCTCAGCCAATCAAAGCCAGTGGTTGTGTCAAGTTCATCAGGTTCAGCCTTCCGGAAACTGCCACCCTCTCCATCCCAGCCCCTATATAGATCCACCTGAAGGATGAGGTTAGGATATACTGCCACCAGGTGGTAAGTCTTGGTATCATCTTAATGTCTTAACTATCGGTGGCCCCTAACCTTTTTGGAATCAAGGACCAGTTTGGTGGAAGGTAATTTTGCCATGGACTAGTGGTGGGAGGGTTGAGATATGGGGATGACAATTCGTATTATATTTATTGTGTACTTATTTGTATCATTACTACATTGTAATAGATAATGAAAGAATTATTCAACTCACCGAATGCAGAATCACTGGGCACCCTGAGTTTTCTTGCAATGAGGTGGTCCCATCTGGGCCTCCTATGAGAGTGTGTTGCCACCATTGATCTGACAGAGCTCAGGGCAGTAATGCAGGCTGCAGGGAGGGGCCGTAAGAGACAAAGCTTCACTGGCTGGCCCACCATTTACCTCTTGCTGTGCAGCCAGGCTGGAGACTCCTGTCAACTAAGATTTGTCTGTTTTGAAAAAAAAATCAAGATTTATGCAATTAATAATTTTTTCATGTTACTTATAAAAAAATTCTTGAAAAGTCTAAAACTTTAAATAAGATGTAATAAAGAATACAATTATATTAAATGATTTTTTAAAGAGTACTTTCTAGATTGTTTTTTACTAATCTTTGTATCAAAAACAGCTTCATCTAACCCCATTTTTCTATTTATATTTGGAAAGCTTTTTTTTTTATTTTTAGGTTTTTGCTTTAGGGCACGTGTTCTAGCCAGAGAAATACAGACATAGAGAAGGAAAGTGAGAAATCACCCCCCAAGGGGACTGACTACACCACAAGCCCTTCTCCTTCATTCTCCTCTCAGGATATTGGGCATGCATGCACATGTGCCCAGCGTGATTTTCAAGCTGCCTTGTTGGTACTCAGTCCACAGCCAGCCATGTGAGATTCTAGAACCTTAACCACCATGCCATCTACTGGCCCCTGGAGTACTCCTTCTAACACTTTTCTTGAATTCTACATTTGAAATCAAGATTGGTTTTAAATATGTACATATTTAAATATTATATATTTAATATTTCAAGTACAGAAGCTACTTGATTTACAATGGCATTATGCTGTGATAAACCCATAGTAATATGAAAATAATATTATGTCAAAAATCCATTTAATATACCTAAACTACCTAATATCCTAGCTTAGCCTAGCCTCCTGAAACATTCTCAAAACACCTACATTAATCTACATTGAGCAAAATAATCTAATACACATCGCATTTTATAATAATCTGCTGAATGTCTTATGTAATTTTGTAATATAGTTATTTGTTTTTTTTTTTGAGAGAGAGATTTTCACTGTAGGGTGCGTGCGCTCGCCAGACAGACAGAGAGAGACATAGAGACAGAAAGCGAGAAATCACCCCCCGGGGGGGGGATGGTCACACCGCAATCCCTTCTCCTCCATTCTCCTCTCGGGATCTTGGGCATGCACGCACACGTGCCCGGCGTGAGTTTTAAGCCACCGGGTCCGGGACACAAACCACGGTCGACTACGTGGGAGTCCAGCGACATAGCCATTATGCTAACTGCTGGTTCCCTAATATAGTTATTGAATGTTGTGCTGAAAGTGAAAAATAGAATATCCTATTTGCATGGATATCCAACGTACAGTTTCTATTTACTGTTTTTACAACACTATAAAGCCAGAAAAATTCCAAGTCAAACCAATGAAAGTGAGGGACTGTCAGTATTATGCCTCAAAGCCTAAAAGTTTGTAATATTTCTTCCCCAGGATGTAATTTCTGCGGGCTGCTAAGCCCCTCCAATACATTAATGATATCTAGAAAATATTCCTGTACCTCAATAGATCAAGAGAGTATATCAGCAAAATCTAGATCAATCAAAATTCATTGTTAGAATACATAATTCTCTAATCAGCAAACTCTTGGTACACCCAACTTAGATACCTCACTAAGGCATCATGCTCAGTGAAAAAAGCCATGACCATAGGTCACATACAGTACAATTCTACCAATAAAACCTTCCCCAAGTGACGAAATTACAGAGATGGGTGACAGTAGTCGTGTCAGGGTGAGGGATGGTGAGAGAGGGAGGTAGGTGTGACAAAGAGGGAGAACTCTGTGGAGATGCGGTCATTTTGTATCTTGGTTGCAGCATAGTTGATTACATGAATCTATACAAGTAATAAAATGACATAGAATAATTGACACACATTTCCTGATTTTAATATTGTAATTATGGAAGGCGAAACCATTGAGGGATACTGGGAGAAGGTAACCCATAAGCATCTGCTCTATTTTTGTAAATTCCTATGAATTTATAATCATTTAAAAATAAAAAGATTCTTAAAAGAATTTTTAAATTATTTTATTAATTACAATTGCTAAATTTAGACATTAGAAATCCTTTGAAAATCACCATCAATTATGGGCAAATTGTATTCCACTGTACTCTGTGAAGAGAGGCAACAGAGATTCCAGGTCAGGACAGGAGTAGGAGGTTGTCCAGACTATGACAGCGTAGTAAAACCTGACATTCTGAGAGGCTGACCCACATGGAATATTTCTGCTTCCAGCCTAGAGACCTCCCCAAGCAGAACTGACATGCACATGTCTATAACTCAGGGCTACTTGAAGGCTGATTTGGATCACTGAGTCATGATCTCTTTAAGGGTGCTATCTCTGTCTCTCTTGCTCTTGGAAGAAATTAATTCATTGAAAGTTTTAAATTTTTTACTTGACCTAGGATGTTCCCCCATTACCACGGCATGGTTCATTCATACATCTTGAGACTCCATGTGCCATAATCTCTATTGAGTTTGGAATTCAGTCTGATGAATTCTAATTTCTAAATATAGGACCTTTTTCAGATTACTTTCTTCTGGCAGGAATGTCTTTTCTTTTTTAATGCTTTAAACTTGAATATCTATACCCAATAATATGGCATCTTGGATTTTTGCTGTTTTTGTTTGTTTGTTTGTTTGTTTTTACTACTCGTCATATAGTTTTATTGCTTCTTGAAAGATTGTTTTCGTCCACTTATTGTTTGGGGTTAGAGACTATTAAAACAATAGCAGCAGTTGTTCAGAATAAGAACATCTTATACAGAAATTTGGGAGTTTTATTCCATAAAAGTAATTCTGAAGTTTTAATGATCAACCTATCAATCGTTGCAATTATACTGTTGGTTGAACTTGCACCACTGGAAAATAATGCAGGATTTTCTCCCAAGTCAAATTTTAATGAAAAATAACTTGATATTTATTATAGTTTTATTGTATTCTACTAGCTTTTAATTTTAAACTTACACCCTACCAGTCCTGCACTTAATAATAATAACTAAAGGCATTTTTCAACTTAAAAACTGACCATATTCTGTTTAGAAATAGGTGATTTTAAAAACAAACAAAAAAATTGTATTATTAGAATGTTGCTTATACTTGATTCACAGATTAAGCCACAAAGTTACATCTAAACCCGGAGGTAATTTAACTACTTTATAGCCCTGGAAATATCAGAAAACAGTCCCTTAAAGGACATTTGTATTTGAAATATACTGTAAAACTTTTGGATACCAAAGTCTATAATAACACATTTTCCCTGATGTAATCAGTAAATATATTTTTAAAATCATGTGCATTCTTATTTGTTTCACTTCACCTTTGGTGTTTCAGAGAAATGTTTGTTTATTTAGAAGCTAATACACAGTAAAAAGAATCCCGTGGGAGGACCAGCAGTTGGAGTAGTGGTTACGTCGCTGGACTCCCATGTAGTCAACTGCGGTTCAAATCCCAGACCTGGTGACTTAAACTCACGCTGGGTGTTTGTGCGTACCCAAGATCCTGAGAAAAGAATGGAGGATAAGGGATTGTGGCGTGGCCATCCCCCCAGGGGGTGATTTCTCGCTTTGTCTCTCTGTGTCTTTCTGGCTAGTTCACATACCCTATAGCAAAAACCTCTCCAAAAAAAAAAAAAAGAAGCCCATGGGCAATCCGAGTTTTATTCCATAAAAGTAATTCTGAAGTTTTAATGATCAACCTATCAATCGTTGCAATTATACTGTTGGTTGAACTTGCACCACTGGAAAATAATGCAGGATTTTCTCCCAAGTCAAATTTTAATGAAAAATAACTTGATATTTATTATAGTTTTATTGTATTCTACTAGCTTTTAATTTTAAACTTACACCCTACCAGTCCTGCACTTAATAATAATAACTAAAGGCATTTTTCAACTTAAAAACTGACCATATTCTGTTTAGAAATAGGTGATTTTAAAAACAAACAAAAAAATTGTATTATTAGAATGTTGCTTATACTTGATTCACAGATTAAGCCACAAAGTTACATCTAAACCCGGAGGTAATTTAACTACTTTATAGCCCTGGAAATATCAGAAAACAGTCCCTTAAAGGACATTTGTATTTGAAATATACTGTAAAACTTTTGGATACCAAAGTCTATAATAACACATTTTCCCTGATGTAATCAGTAAATATATTTTTAAAATCATGTGCATTCTTATTTGTTTCACTTCACCTTTGGTGTTTCAGAGAAATGTTTGTTTATTTAGAAGCTAATACACAGTAAAAAGAATCCCGTGGGAGGACCAGCAGTTGGAGTAGTGGCTACGTCGCTGGACTCCCATGTAGTCAACTGCGGTTCAAATCCCAGACCTGGTGACTTAAACTCACGCTGGGTGTTTGTGCGTACCCAAGATCCTGAGAAAAGAATGGAGGATAAGGGATTGTGGCGTGGCCATCCCCCCAGGGGGTGATTTCTCGCTTTGTCTCTCTGTGTCTTTCTGGCTAGTTCACATACCCTATAGCAAAAACCTCTCCAAAAAAAAAAAAAAGGATCCTATGGGAAATCCTCAAGGCTTCCAAGCCCTGTCTGGGTCTTTGATACTGTTCTATGTACATGGACCCTTCCACGTTTCTTTTCCCCATGGACTGCCATGGACCTATCAGCCCCAATGAGGGTCTTGTCACAGTGCACAATTCTTTCACTAAAGTTTTTTCAAACAACCCAACGGAATGTCTCATATTCTCTCATCTTATTATCACTAACTGAAATTCTTTTGATCTTCATGCTTTGTCAGGATCCAGACTCAGCCTCAGGCTGACCTTATGATTTCAGTGGAAGGCAGGCTTCCAGCCAAGGACCTGATTGCACCCAAGGTCACACGGCAAGGCCAGGAGGTTGACTTGAATCGCTTCTTTCTCATGTCTCTAGGCCAATTACCAAGTTACTAGTTCTCACTTAAAATGCACCCTTCAATATGTGCTCTGTGATCAACTCTGGGAGCCATTTGAGCAGTTCTTTAAAGTGAGCACAGCGTTGCGAGCTGCAGGAGGAGCCAGTGGAGGCAGCTGGCTCCCACATAGCCGACTGGGTGGTTGGAGTCCCAACAGGAGATGTGGGTACTCTGCATTTGTGCCCAAAATTCAGAAAGGAGAAATAGATAAGGGATTATGGCATGACCATTCC